AAAGCAAGAGCTCATAGATCAATAAGAGAAAGCAAGGCCCTCGCACAGAACAGGGCAGGGACCCAGGGGTGCTGGAGACATGACATGGCATCAAAGGAGAGGAGCAGGCCAGCGGCTGGCGTGCTCAGCACTGGTACGTAAGCCACCAGGTGCAGAAACAGACATGCGTGCACACACACGCATACGCACATATGCACGTGTGTACATACACACACACAAACACATGCTCACTCACACACACACACCGTTGCAGATAAGGCTGGAAAGATTAACTCAAGAACAGTCCAAGGTGTCACCCCATCTCTGGGACGATTGTATATGGTTTTGATTTTCTCTATTTGTTTGCTTATCGGAATTTTCTGAAATGAATACATGTATTTTGTGATGAGAATATTCAAATAATATTCTTTAAAAATAAAAAGGAAGAAAAGAGCATGAGATCCCACCACAGGACACTTTCAATATGCTTTCAGATACTTATTTAAAATGCAATCTTGGTAAATTTTAGTGCATCCCCGAGAAAACTCAAACGTACATCCTCCTGCAGGATTGTCCGTTTCTAGAATGCAGAATCCAGACCCTCCAACCCTTACCTTCTCCGGATGGTCCCGCAAGGGGCCCAGCACACGTCCTGGAGGGCCGCTCAGGTGAAGGACCCTGGGGTGCAGAGAAGGCGCCAAAGCCAAGGAGGGGTTGGGGCCGAGACAACCCGAAGGGCACCTGTGACAGCGGAAAGAATAGAGGCTCCAATGCTGAAACGTGACTGAAACCTCATCTGCTTCGATGGAAACTGGGATGTGAGCCGGAGACGGGGACATGAGGGGCCAACCACGCAGACTATCTCATTCCTTAATCGAAAAAAGTCTAAGTTTTTAGAACTGGCCCTAATCCTATTACACTAGTTTTAAACTACTGCATATATATTAAAGTGCAGAGACAGAACACATATGCATACTCACACTTATAACTTTTTGAATGCATAAATCTGATCATGTCCCTGCTGTTTTAAAGCAGTCTGTTCTTCTATCTTCAATGGAAGCGTTCACAAGCAGGCAGGGAGACAGGAGTGCTGTGGAAAGGTGGAAAGCCCCTGGGTCTGGCTGGCACGGGGACGAGGGCATGGAGGGGTCACACAACTAGAAAGATTGCTAGGCTGAGTTTGGATCTGACTGCACTGGGGCGGAGCACTGACAGTGTTTCAGCTTCCGTTTGGGGTTGTTTGGGTTCAATGGACGGGGTGGGGGGAGACCACGGTGAGGAATTCGATGCGAGCTGTTTGTGGGATGGACTGCAGGAGCCCGGGAGCTAGAGATCTTTGGTCCGCCACTGGTGGCGGCCAGCATGTCCACTGTAAGGAATCTCATGCTGGGGCTGGCACTGGCCAGTTCCAGCCTCCACATTGTCATTCTGGGGACCTGCCCAGCGCCACGCTCCTGTGTGGGGAGACAGCGGCCCACGGCCACTCGGGCTCTGCACATCTTGTCGCGTGAGTGGCACTGACGGCCCTTTGTTCCGGACGACCTTTTCAAGGCTGTCATGGGCCCTGGGGCAGCAGGCGTCTACCCCTTCTGCAAGAGTCAGGCTTCCTGATCCTGTGACATAGGTACCCACTGCACATGTGGATGTCACCAGCCCTCTCCATGTCCCCTGTGGGCACTGGGGCTCATGGGGAGCTTCCTGCCCAGGAGAAGTGATCAGAAATGGCCCTAATCCTATTACATTAATTTTAAACTACTGCGTATATATTAATTTTAAAGTGCAGAGATAGAACGTGCTCTCAGTTCTGAGACAGGAGAGCTAACACGGGCACCTGACCTGCCCAGGTTCCGACGAGGAGGTCGTGCCACCCGGCCTCGAGGGCTGCTTGGGGTTTGGGTGTGATGCTGGGAACCAGGAGCACTTAAGGAGAAAGACAGTGCCCAAGGATTTGGGGATTATCCTGACTCCCAGCACACCTTCTTTGGGCGAGCTCACCGGCGACGTCGCTCTAGGAACGGGCACCATCTGCCCCAACAGTGTCCGAGGCTTTAGAGACAGTGGGAAAGGCTGCCGGCAGAGGTGGCACTGCAGGATACCACGGGAAGGCCTCTCCAGATGGAAGGAAGGATTCTGAGGCGGAACAGGAGACAGTGGCTTGCAAAGCCGTTAGGAATGGGACCTCTGTGTGCCCCTAAGGCCACCTTCTGTGGGGTGCGCCTGTAATTTCACACCAGCTTCCCGAGAACACGAGGAGGCCCCACTGCATCTTCCCGCTCAGGAGATGAGAAACGTGGAGGCCCTGAGAAGGCAGGTGATGTCAGCCAACAACAGGGCGATGGGCAGAGGCAGATTCATGCCCTGGCGTGCGGCTGGGGGGGCATCGCTCCAGGCCCCACGGCCGCTGTGCCCAGCAGTCTGCCCGTCATGGTGCGGCAGGCTGGGCCCAGCCCCTCCGCGTGGCCTATGTGTGAGCCGGTGCAGCTGGCCCCGGGCTGGACGCCGAGCACTCAGCAAACAGCAGCTGGCCGCCCCCGGCATCTGCGGGCCAACCCTGGGACACGAGCACATTTGGGGGCTGCTTCAGGCTTCCAGGGGTGGAAGGAAAAGCCATCCGGCCTCCGTACTCCACAGCAGACGCTGATGGCTTCCCCACACGCCTCAGGCTGCGGAGGATGTCTCCGGCTCTGGCGCGGGCCGCCCTGCTCTGCCGTTCCTCTCTGATCAGAGCGATAACTGTTTCCCTCGGGACTGGCCAGAGGGGCCTGACCACGCTCCAGGGTGTGAGGCCGGCACTTGGGGACAGTCCCCGGGGTCACATCGCGGCGCCAGACACGGCTTGTTGTGGGGGGGACAGTTTGCAGGCCAAGGGCTGAGCCACTTCCTCTGAGTGGGAGGGTGGCTGCTCAGCCGCATACTTTGGGGTAAAAGCACCTGGAAAGGCTCCAGCCCCTCCCCTGCCCCACGCCCGGCTGCTGTGAGGCTCAACTTAAAAACTCCAGCATCTCCAAGTAAACGTTTTAGCTGCTAAGTGCAGGCGGCGCTGCTGGGATTCATTAGAATTCCTATCAAAATCCCACATTCCCACCCGCTGTGATGGTCACAGTCTTGCCTGCACCCCCGCCCTGAGCAAACGCCTCCGTTTTCCTTGGCAAAGACCTGCTGCCCCACAGGAGGCCCGAACAGCCCCGTTACATCCTCAAGCAGGACGGGAGGGGCTGGGTTCACACTGGGTTCAGGGTGCAGGTGCCCGGCCTGAGGGGTCACGGCCTGGGGGCTGGTCAGAGGAGCCTGGTTCCTCTGGGCTGAGCGCGTGTCATCACCCCTGGGTGCTGGGGTGATGCCGTGACACAGAGCATCAGTGGCAGCATCCACGATGGTCCCGGCTCCAGAAAGTCCTCTCAGGGTCCACGGGGTGGTCCCTGGTGCTCAGCAGCCTTGTTCCTGGAGGCGCACACACAGACAGGGATCAGGGCGCCCTGCTACCAGCCACAGGACTCGGTTCCCCGCTGCCACAGGCCCTGCGCCTGCGTCCCTGGCCACCGCAGGCGTTGGGCCCCCTCAGGCCCGGCCCTGTCCTTTGAAGGTCAGTGCTGTCTGGCCGCCACTGTCAGCTGCCCCATGTGGGGAGGCCCAAGCCATGCCAGGGACTCTGCATTTTGTCCAAGCTCCCTCGGGGACAAGGGTGAGCAGTCACGTTGGGAACTGCTGGCTTGGTCTAACCTCCTGGTGTTGGCGAGGGGAAACTGAGGCCTGGAGAAGGTAAACAGCTTGTGAGAGGCAGAATCAGGACCACCTGGGGCCCCCAACTGGGCCTGGCTTCTAGCCAGAGCCAAGCCTCCCAGGATCCAGAGAAAGTAGTTGTAATCGGTCAGCCAGACTCAGGCCAGCGTTTGTCCTGAGGACCCTGCGGGCTGGGAGGCGGGGCATGGGCACCCTGGGAAGAGCGGGCAGTGCTCCCAGGGAAGCAGGTGCAGTGGGCACATGGCCTGGGGCTGAGACAGCGTCTCTTACGGCGGGCAGATCCCAGCGACCTCGGGGAGGAGTGACTCCCCCTCCCGGCTGCTGTGGGGACTGGAGGAGACGTGGTCCGGCAGCACGCGTCGTGGCAGGAGCAGCGGGGTGCCATCCCTGTCTGCCCCTCCTCAAGGCTAAACATGTGGGGCCCTGGCAGCAGCACCCACATATCCCGCTGGATGCTCGGCCGGGCCATTCCATCCCTCGTCTGTTCAACAAAATCCACCGAGGACCTGGCAAGTGACACGAGAGAGAGGCCGCAGGGAAGGAACCTGACGTCGGGGGATGAAGAGCACCCCCACCCCAAAAACCAAGCAAAATGGCAGAGACAAAGGAATCTGTCGAGTGTGGGGTGATGAAGTCACAGGATGGCCCAGATTTAAGTCTGGGAGGTAGCCGCTGACCTTGTCCAGAGTAGCGGGTGAGGGGTCGAGAGGACGTGAGGGAGAGCAAAGAAGGGTGCACGCTCCCCAGGGACGGCTCTGGTTTTGTTTGCTTTGGTTTAGGATGGGAAGCAAGGGGCACTCTTGTGCTGATGGGATGGCCAGCGGGGCAGGGCAGTGGATGGGGGAGGAAGTGGCAGAGGGAGCGATGGTGTGTCTGGGCGTCTGGGACAGGAGGGATGCGTTGACTCCCGGGACGGCGCTGGGTGTCCTCGCCAGCTGTTCAGAGATTCTCCAGGGGCCTTGGCTGCATGATGGCAGAGGGGGATGGACGTTGAGGGCTGGGTTACACGGCAGGATAGACGCCTGGGGGTGAATTCCCAGGCAGAGAAGGTTCCCAGGGCCCCTCTGCCGCCAGCACAGCGCCTGCTGGCTTTCAAAGGAATTTTTTGATGTTCTCATGATCTTCCCAGTTTGGTGAGATTAAGATAGGAAGCTGTGGTTTGCAGTAAGTTGTCCAGTTAGACGACGGACATTCCATCCCTGCCTTCAACAGGATGATTCTCAAATGCCTCCAGGGGGTTGGATGGACAGCCAGCTCCGGGAAATCTCTCCAGTCCCGGAATGTCATCATTCCGTGGGGCCACAGGGTCCCAGGAAACTCAGTGGCAGCAGAGCAAGTATAAATGGCAGATCTATACCTCAGAGAACTTCCTGTGTTCAGGAGACGTGTGCCTTGCTCGGGAGCCTGGGGCCCGGGGCACGGGGCTGGGGTCAGTGTAGAAGTGTCTGATGGTTTCACAATTTTCTGTATCTGTAAAACCAGGCGATTTCTAAAGGCCAACTAATTCTAGCACCTCCACCACGTGTAACAAACAGCAGCCTCTCACATACAGCTCCTAGGAATTCCCTGACGCCTGGTCTGCTCTGTGCTCAGCCCGTCTTTCTGGAAGTGTGTTCTGCCAACTTCTTACGTGGCCGCGCCCCTGAGCAGTGAGTGCTCATGTTGCTCAGTGAGTGCGGAGGAGAGAGATGGAGAAAGAGAGAGAGAGAGACAGAGACAGAGATAGGGTAGGGGGAGAAGAGAGGGCAGGGGAGAGGAGAGGAGAGGAGAGAAGAGGGAGACAGAAAGAGAAACACTGAGGACTAGGGAGGATCAGAGGGGCTCCCCAGATTTCATTTGTCTCTCCCACTCTGGCTGTTTGCCTCTAAAACCCAGAACATTCTCCTCTTAGCCAAGCCCGTGGGTGTTCAGTTCTGTGTTGCAGGGCCCCCACCAACAAGTGGAGGGAGGTGCCCACCTCCAAGGGGACTGAAGAGGCACAGAAGAGCCACCACACGTGAGCACCGGCCCAGCTGGGCATTCGGCAAGTCTTCAGCGTGTGTTGGCTTTAATGATTGTGTTTTAATATTCCATATTTGATACAAACTCCATTTGATTGTGAAATCGCCCCAGCACCCCCTGTCCTCGGGCTCTGTTTGGGGCTCTGATTCTAAGCCCCTTTGGAGATATTTGCCCAGATGTGACTGTCTGGTCCGGAAGGTTCCCACAGAGAAGGGTTGTGATAAGAGGCCCGGCTGCCCTCTCCAGCCCCGACTCCGCTCCAGCAGCAACTCCCAGAAGCATGTTATCTTTTCCAAGGGAAACGGGCCAAACCGTGTGGTCTGCAAACCTGCATCTCCCTCAGGCACGCTCTGACCGCAGCTCGCTGGGAGCTTGCATCACGTCCCTTTCATCTTCTAAAGCCTTGTCTGTAACATGGTTTTACAGCTTAATGTCACCCACTTGACCAGATGTTTCCCAGATTTTGAACTGGTTTTAGCGGATGTAACTTTATCATATGCTTCTTAGGAAAAGCACTTTTCTCAGCACATACCCAGCAATTAACAAAATTCGGAGAAGGGGACATTTCAAATAATTTTAGCTGGGTTATTCTTAAAAATGCATCTGTGTCATCTTTTTAAAATGTTCAGTAACTTCATGTTGATAACTGTTTTTTCTCTGTGCCATCAGATACATTCTCTATTGGATAAAACCAAGTTATGAGCTGACCTCTGGAATTAAGGTAGCTTGGGTAAATGTCGAGAGCCAGAGTGACTCCATAATTACACCAATTTTCCTTTCAAGTTCTGCAGGGAGGGCGTTCATCTGAGAGCACCCACTGCCTGCAGTTCATAGTCAACCACCCACTCTCTGCCACCCAATGTCCCCCCAGAAGACCCAGGGGGTGACAGAGTGCCACGCCTGGCACACACACTCTCCCCCAGAACAAAGGAAAAGAGGAGAAAAGAGAATAGGGGGATTTATGAAATTATGAAACTATTATGTTCCAGTTTATAGCGATAATTTTTTGTGTGTGTGTGAAGAAGATTAGCCCTGAGCTAACATCTGATGCCAATCCTCCTCTTTCTGCTGAGGAAGATTGGCCCTGGGCTAACATCCATGCCCGTCTTCCTCTATTTTATATGGGATGTCGCCACAGCATGGCTTGACAAGTGGTGCCTTGGTGTGCGCCTGAGATCTGAACCTGTGAACCCCGGGCCGCCGAAGCGGAGTGGGCGCACTTAACCACTACCCCACTGGGCGAGCCCTATAGCAATAAATTTTAAAAGCTAGATTAACTGGATGATTTTCTTGGGAAATATAGAGTACAAAATTGACTCAAGTAGAAATAGGAAATCTGACTAGTCCAATGGTGGGGAGGCGCAGAAAAAAAAAAGTAGCCTAAGTTTTATCCTCAAAAAGGCACCAGGCCCAGGCAGTTTTATGTGTGTTTCCACAGCCTTTAAGGAATAATCTCCCTGCAACAGAGAGACAGAACCATGTGCATTCAGGAACATGAGGTCTGGAGACCAACTGCTGAGGTCAAATCCCATTTCCATCTATTACCAACAGAGTGATCTTGGGCGGCTACTTACACTCTCCTTGCCTCAGTTTCCTCATCTGTCAAATGGATGTGAAAATGGTACCAGTTCACAGGGTTGATCTGAAGGTTAAAAGCTTAACTCATGTAAAATATATAGACTTGTGCCTGATGCATAAGAACTTGATACAGATGAAGTGTTATGAAGAGTTACTATTATTTCCAAGCACAGAAAAGACAAAAACATCACAATTCATTCTATATAGCTGGTGGAAAACCTGAGAAACCAATGGTGGGAATAACACCCACACACATGCTGATAGGGACACATTATTTATAATAGGATCATATAATTTTTTTATAGGGACATAATTACCCTAAATAGAAGCATCGAGAAACAGAATCCGTGCATCAGGAGCAAGCAAAGCTTATCTCAGGAACGCAACCATGAGTCAATGTTATAAAATTTGTTAGCACAATTCATTACATTAAGAAATTTTTTCTTTTAAAGGAGCCAGCCCGGATGGCTTAGCAGTTCAAGTTCGGCACACTCTGCTTTGGGGGCCCAGGTTCAGTTCCCGGGCAAACCACACCATGGTGATGGAACCACACCACCCGTCTGTCAGTAGCCGTGTGATGGCGGCTCACAGAGAAGAACCAGAAGAACTTACAACTATACACAGCTATGCACTGGGGCTTTTGTGGGGGGGAAAGAAAGAAAAATGGAGGAAGATTAGCAAAGACATTAGCTTAGGGCGAAACTTCCCCTACAAAAAGCAAAAAAGAGAGAGATTAAAGAGAGGAAAATCCTTGATCATCTCAAAAGATAGTCCCCCAAAAAGCATTTGGTAAAATTTAATTTCATTACTGAATTTCAAGCCCACACAACCAAAGATCTTCAGGAAGCTAAGAATGGTAGGAAAATTCCTCAACATCTAACAAACAGTGTACTTAATACTTTAGAACCAGGGTCGGCAAAGTTCTATAAAGGGGCAGAGAGCAAATATTTCAGGTTTTTCAGGCCACATGGTCTCTGTCCCAACTACCTAACACTGCAGCTGTAGCATGAAACCAGCCATTAGACAATAAGCGAACGAACGGGGGTGGCTGTGTGCCAATAAAACTTCATTTACAAAGAGAGACAACCGTGGGCGGGATTTGGTCCCCTGGCTGTAGCTTGCAGACCTCTGCCTTAGAACCACTCACATTGTAGTCAGAAACAAGAGAAAGATGCCTGTTTTGTATTTGAGTCCTTGTGAATGTAGTAACACAAAGTATTTATGAAGTACAAATACTGGAAAGGCAGAGATAAAAGTATGATTATTTGCTTAATTATATGACTATTTGCCCAGAAAATCCAAAACAACCAACTGACAAATTAATAGAATTAAAAGTGGCCAATGTTAAGGTCAACATGCAAAAACAACAGCATTTATTAAAACAGCAATGTGTAATTAGGATGTGGCATGAGGAGAAGTGTCTCATTGGTGACAGCAGCAAAACCCAGGAGCAAACCAAGAAATGAGTGGATGTGACATAAAAGAAAACTAGAAAACTGTGCTGAAGCTCTGAATAAGCCGAGAGACAGACCCGTCCCTGAACGTGGGGACTCAACGCCGCATCAGTGTCATTTTCCAAGCTGTGCCCACACTCTCAGCGCACTCTGATAAAGTCCCCAACAGGGTTGACTTGAAACAACCAATTCTAAACTCCGTATGGAAGAGAAAATGTGCAAGATTAGCTGCGCAATGTGTTACGAGGACCTGGAGAAGGAGCTTGCAGTAAAGCCATCATGATTAATGCCGGTGTTATTGTGCAGACGTTGACAACTGGGTCTCGGGTCAGGGTTGAAGACCAGAGCCAGAACCAGGTGTTTGTGGGGATTTAATTTAGGATGAGGGTAGCACTTCATGTCAGTGCAGAAAGAGTACCTCTTTCAACAAAGGATGAGGTGACAATGGGCCATGCATTTGAAAAAGAAAATATGAAACCCCATCAACGCACAGATTACTCGCCTGCTTTCAGCCGTGACTTCCCTCTGCTGCCCCCTCGCAGGTGACCCTGAGTCCCCTGCCAGGCCTGCTGCCCCTGGGGGTTTGGGGGGTGGGACTGTGCCTCAGCTACAGTGTTCCAGACTGAGGGGACTCGGGATAAAGGACCCTCCACCCCTCTCCATGTTCTCATGGGCTGGGTCTAAATGCAGCCCCCGAAGGCCACCCTCTGCAGTTTCTGGAACTCAATTGAAGAATTTGCAATCCTGGCCAGATCCAGAGCCCCAAACCGGAGAGGGCAGAGGCCATGTGGAGTTGTTACCCCTGTTCTGCACTTCATTCCAGGGAGGGACCCCCAGATCCTGGCTCTGTTTGTGTTTCCGTTGACGCTATCTTCTGAGAGGGGGGAGACGAGTCCTTGGAACCAGCCCTCCAAACGTAAAAAAGCAGCCTGTTTAATAAAACAAATTACGTGCTTTTTGACATTTGCCACTTGTTTTGATCACAGGAAGGCTGTGGGACAAACTCTCATAGTCCCGAGCGCCTCCCTGGCACCCGGCAGCCTCTGCTCGGCTCACACTCAGGGCTTTCCCACAAGGGCAGCTCAGCTCGCCTCCCGCTGGGACGGGGGAGTGTTCTCCCACAGAGACGCAGATGTTTGTGAGGTGCCTGTTGTCAGAAAAGCCGCCCCCGGGCAGAAAACCCAACCCTGGAGGCAGAAACAAGGAGCCATAGTCACGAGCCGGTCACATCTTAATTAGAGCCAGAATTGGGGACTCAGAACGTTTTTAAATGGCTCTCTGAGTCTCCTGCTTGGAGTGGGCCAATCTTTGTTTTCGTGAACAGATGTAGTGAAGACTCCATTTTAGGTGCCACCCAATGACCGTGAGGGCACGTGTGTGCGCAGGGGCACGCTGATCTTTTACTGTAGGTCCAGCTTCCCCCATCACGCCCGAGGAAGGAGAGGTCAGCTTGGGGAACCCGGTGCAGGGAGAGTTCCGAGGTGGCGTCACTGCCCCCAGGAACAGAGTCCCTGAAGAGTGGCCCGGGGCCCCAGTGAGCCCCATCCTAGACCTTCCTTGCCCCCACATGACCCACACCCTGAGCTGTGTGGGTGATTGGGGGCTTCCTCCACGGGTGGCCGATGGGATGTGTCCAGGGCGGGCAGGACCAGAGCCAGGTGCCCAGGTGCGCATCCACGGGGAAAGCTCCTGTTCTGCTTCAGGGCGAGGTGGCCCTGAGGGGCCGTTGGGACACCACCTAGTCGCACTCTCCTGCAGACCCTGGGACCCCCGGGAAGGGCCCTCTTGCAGGTTCTGGAGAGCCATCACCATAGAAGGCGGACCCCGCTGTGGGCAGGTCACCTGGGGGTGCTGGACCCACGTGCTGACCACAGGAATCTGCATGCCCCCAGGAAACTCTGGGCAGCCTTCACGTCTTGGTCACTTGGTGTCTGGGTCCCACAGGTGCCTTGGCTGTCCCTTG